GATAAAATACGAGAGATTTTGCTAGGAAGGAGAACATCTTCGAAAGAAAACCAAAATGATGATGGTCGTGGTACTTCGAATGATCAGGAATAGGACGATCGAGTTTCCTGTTTATTTTTTTTATATATATCTTGTCTTTACAAGTACTGTACTGGGCAAGAGTTAGAAACAACTGTGTAAATCATGGAATAAAAAAAAAAAAAAAGAAAAGAAAAAATATAATAGAGAAAATACGTGTGAGATAATGGCAGGACAAAGGAGATAGGAGGAGTGATACGACAAACGCATAATAATAGTACTTTCATAATTCACCCGCAACTTGATTCAGTCAGTTTCTTACATAACACGTGTGTCTGTCTCTCTTGCATGCATTGACACCAAACGTCCTAAGATACCAACTCCGTAACTTCCATTCTTGATATACCTTTACGTTTAACTTTTACGATGGTGGTCTCTCAAGTAAAGGAGGGGAGGTACACTCTAAACAGGAGATGATATAAATTTCAATGTTTTATCGTCATGATCGTGAAACCGTGAAATCCGGTGAAAATTCTTTACCATAAGGAAGAAGGGGGTTGGGTTGGGGGGAGGGTTGTAAGACAGTTGATATGTATCATATATATAAACGCTTTCACCCGAAACTTTTCACTTCTGTCATTGCTATAGTTAAAACGTCTTATTTTCCATAATTATATTCGATGATCCACCGATTCGATAAAATACTCGGACAATACTTGAATATTTGATTTACTTTGTGAGTACGGTTAGAATATAAGTACTTACTAGAAAAAAAAAAAAAAAATAGAAAAAAAATCAAACTTTACACAAGTTGTCTTACTAAACTCAACTCGTATCTAACCGAAAGAAGAAATTCTTGACCTCGGTAACAACACTCCTAACCCCAGTTGGATATTCTGATTGCATAGCAAATAGTAACCGATGGTGTCTACCGGTCGTCCTCTTCCCCTCCCCCTCCCCCTCCTCCCCCTCCCTCTTACTCCTTTCAACCCATTGCATTCGTTATATCATTTTATATACAACTATATAATCGTGTTTGTTCTTATAACCCCCAATACAGTAATGTTGTGTTCATTGAAACGCATAATGCACATGAGTATACAAAAAGTTAAAGAAGATGAAGATTTTCAATTTGAACATGTTTAGATATCAACTAGATTCATGTGTCGTGTGTGGATATTCTTTGTCAGATCACGTAGAGTACAAAAAAAAAAGAGAATACATAACCTATACATACGTCTTACGTATACATCAGATAAATTTCTCTTGGCCTAGTTAATGATAGATTAGAATGATTGCTATTTTATTATTGTTGTTATTTGTTGTTGTTCGTTTTAATTTGACAATACGGATATGTAGGAATTTTGAGCTAAGTGTGGCGCCCTCGTTTGATAGCAAGTACCGTTTTGTATCGTCAGAATTGAGCCACAATGACTATAGTTGTCAATATAAACATAAAATATATATAAATATAAAATCGTGCTATTTTTCCATGACGAGTATACTATTGTTGTTGTTGTTGTTGTTTGTTTTGATTGGCAATACGGATATGTAGAATGTTAACCTAACTGTGGCGCCCTCGTTTGATAGCAAGCACTGTTTTGTATCGTCAAAATCGAACCATGACAAAAATACTCTAAATATCTTGAAATTTGAGAATATATATTTTGTTTTACTCAAAAATAACAATTTAAATAACCAATGGTCATTAGTTTATACGAATTATGAGTATATTCGTCGATCATAGTCTTAAAAGCCACCATGTTGATTTTGAAAAGCCACCTATCGACAAAATTTGCAATCATTTATCAATATCTGTCAAATGGAATAAAAAGCAGTGAATATTTTTGATTTTATTTTGTTGTTTTTTTTTTTTTTTACGAGTTGTCGTTTCAAGAAGAAGAAGAAGAAAAAGAAGAAGAAGAAGAAGATAAGAATACTTAGGGAAAACGGAAAGTGATCTATGATGAAGGTGTAGGTTAACTTCAAAGAAAATCCGCGTTGGGTATAATCAAAGGGAAAAAGAAAGAGAAAAAAAAAAAAGAAAAGGATTCGCGATAACGTCTGGAAAACAGACTCACCGCCGCATAGAAATTCACCATAGACGACGTATATCGGCGGAACCACGAGCTTGGTATACCAGTAGCATAGCAACTAGTGGCTGGGATGTGTTCCCGACCTTATGTACACGCCATATATCACCACACGTATAACTCCTCGCGTGCTACCCGAACTCGTTCGTCGAAATACCACCTATATATAGATATATACATATATATATATATATATATATGTATAAATACACATAGGTATTCTTTCCTAGTAAGAACCTATATTCCTGACAGAGAGAGAGAGAGAGAGAGAGAGAGAGAAAAAATGTAAAGAAAGATACGTGTAGGTGTGTGAATAAACGTACGTGTTGTCCCCTAGAATTCAGAGAGAAAAAAAGAGAGAGAGAGAGAGAGAGAGGAGAGACAGATGCTTAGTGCACACGCATTTGCGTACTCGACACGCGAGCCAAGCACCTCTTTTTTATTTTTTTTATTTCCTTTTTTTTCTGACAAGAGAAGAGAAAAGGGAAGAAAAAGGAATCGTAGTAGGGCTACTACTGTCGTAGGGTTGGTTGACACGCTTTAACAATCCATTCTCTTTTAGGTAGTACTACTTCACTTCAACTCTCCTTTAGAATGACTTAAAATACGTTCATTCTTTTGTCAAATGATTAAAGAGTGTGTGATATTATTATTGTTGTTGCTGTAAATCTATCTAATCTGTATAAAAATATCGTATTGTTTGAAAGTTGGATTTAGTTGAGTAAGTGAGGGTTAGTATGATTTGTTCTAAACTCTTCTTCTTCTTCTTCTTCTTCATCGTGAATGATTTTTTATTGAACAGTTCCTTAGATAAATACCCCCGACCCTAAAAAAATTTCAACATCGTGAAGCGAACCATGGAATATAAATTTACCATTTTTGTATTTTCTTAAAAAAAAAAAAAAAAAAAAATAGAAAGAAGAAAGATCACCCGAAAGGGAAGTCATTCGAGCACGTGCGCGAATAGTAAAGAAAAAGGTAGAAAGAAATCGCTAATTCGATCTTTCTAACGTAACAGCAGCTGTTCTGTTCTCTTCTACTCTCTAAACACTACCCGTCGGTAAAAAAGTAACGCGAGAAGTTAGAAAAAAAAAATAAAAAACCTCTCTACTTCTTCTAGTAGCAAAGAAGCCTGAGGTTAGCAAAAACGAACGGGGATAGTTACCCAGACCAGACAGACAGACAGACAGTCAGACAGACAGACAGACAAACGCAAGTAAAGAAAAAGGATTTCTCTTTCTCTTTCTATTTCTTTTATTTTGTTCTCTCTTCTTTTTGGCTTTTGGTCGTAAGATTACAACGGTGGTGGTAGCAGCACGTGCCCCATTGAAGAAAACGGGAAGGAAGATGGGGAACCCTATAACCACCCTCGTAACTTAAACTAAGCTAATCCCTACCTCCTTACCTATGCTATTCAAGGCATGACGAAGCAAGCTCCCTTTTGTAGTCCACCTTGGATCAGAGCCCTTCTCCTTCTCCACCTTCTACTCGATTCAATAGCTTCTTCTTTTTTATGTGTGTGTGTGTTTTTTTTCACCACCCTCTACATTCCCATTTTTCTCTCTTTCTTCTCTTCATTCGTGTTCTCTCACTTTTCTTTTTTTTTTTTATCACTCAATCAAAATCACAGGAAGTTGCAACGATTTCTTAGTGACCCTTTCTCCCCTCTTCTTTGAATGTTTTTTAATTCCCTCGAAAAGTGTCACCCTATTGAAAAGAGAAAGAGATAAATAAAGGTTTTGAGTATAAATGGGGAAGGGGAAGGGGAAGGGTTGTAATAAACGTAAATGATGAAGAATACTACTCGTGTGTAATGATAGTACTTATTTTACTCGTTTATTCATGTACAAGTATGAGTAATGACTTTGAAATTGGATCGGAACTGAAAAATGTTGGGACATAGAGAGAGAGAGAGAGAGAGAGAAAGCAACACAGCATCAGCAACAGATGGAAAGTTGTTGTAACACGCGCGTGCAAACGGGGGCTACCGTGTTAGAGATAGAAATCATAACCAGCTCGTATTCCTATATCCGTATCCTCTTTCTTCTCTATGAAAGCTAGTAGAAAATATGAAATATAATAATAAAAAGAATTTGATAAAAAGAAAAAAAAAATTTATAATGCGTAGGTAGTTGTGTAGAGTAGTACATCATCGATTTGTTAGCAACTTTGTTTTCGTAGTGGACACTACGAGAAAAATTGATCGTCGCGTGCGTGTTAAGCTAAACCTTGAGTTAGGGTGAGGGGTGGGAGGAAGACTTGACTATAATAAATCAGAAGGAAAGTTTAGGATAGTTAGAACGTTTACACGCCCTTCGGAACCCAACGGGATTCCATTTACCAACGTCGCAAAGAATCGCTTTTGCAGGATTCTTCTTTTTCTTCTTTTCTTTTTCTTCTTTTCTTTTTTGACTGCTCGTGCGCCCTAGGACTTTAAGAAGACCCTTCTTTCTTTCTCTTTCTATCATCTTCTTTCCTAAGGAAAAACGTCTTAAGAAATAAAAGACCACCCGTCGATTTTGTTTGGTCCATTTAAGATCGGTCACAATAACTAACACGCCTTGAAATCACTTAGGATACTATCGTCACTGACTGTGTTGCTTGACCATTGTCCATTCTAAGTTACAGCACAATGACAGTTGGTGGGATGTCCTTGGGTTTAAAGGAAATTTACCGACAGGACTAATTTCTAACCCCAGATCATTTTTCATTATTTATTTGGGAATGGGGGTGTTAAATGATCTGACATTTTTCTTTAAAATAACATAATTAATTTGTGAACAATTAATTCAATATTATCGTGACGAAAAAATTGAATTGATATTTAAAATTAATGAGTTTCATTGAAAAAAAAAAAGAGATTTAAGAGATTGTGGGGGTAAATTTTAGGAAGGAACATTTTGCGTCGGTGCCGTTGAATGTTACGAACTCGCAAAGCATAAGAACCGAAGAGGTGACTACTTGCCTCAGGGTCTGGTGAGTGGGTATAGTAACAAGGCTTTATTATGGGTAGTGAAATTAAAGTGTAACGTGCAATTACGCGTCAATTCTGTCAACATGCTACTTCGTAACGCCGCCGTAGGACGCCTTTAAGTTCTTACAGCCTAAATGCGTCATTTACTTTGATACGCGTCACCGCGAATCACAATGAGCGTCACGTTGCAAATTCTTTTCTAAGGATTTACCATACACACGTATATAACACATACATATTAAAAAAAAAAATTGCACATTCTTAAGAACATATGTTTCTACTTATTCACGTAGTGCAATGAGAAACAACCTAATTAAAATAAATATATATATACACACACATACAGTCAGTTGAAGATTATTTTTATTCTCAATTTTATAAAATATATTTGTTAAATTTTATGATAATAATATATTGATTTCATTTTTTTGTTTTAAATTATTTATATTAAGTGTATAATTTAACTAATTTACTCTGAGTTTGACATGTATACTCGTCACGCGTAAAACAATGATTATTTGCTATTATAATTTGAACATTTTTACAAAACAAAACATATTCTTTAATTTGAAGATTAGTAAGAAGAAATTGAAGATTTTTCAAGTACTATTTTTATATTTTTATTTTTAGATTTCATTTTATTCTCAAAAAATGAGCAATGTTAACCTCAAAACTCGTCATAGGTTGATTCTAGCGACACACAGCGGTGCACACTTTCAAAATGAAGCTCCACAGTTAACTGGTTAAAAAAAAAAAAAAATGTCATCAAACATTGATTAAAATGTACCACGAAATTGGTTGTTTCCTTTCTGATGTACACAACGATGAACCAAATAAATGGCAGACGAATATCGATCGTATTTAAAACATGAAAGAATAATACACAAAGTTGCTTTTAGTATGTTTATTGCACCCTAATACGGAAAGAACAAATTGAGAGAGAGTAAAGACTACAACGCACAACCCCCTGCAGCTTTGTTACGTTCCCATTGTGTTTCTTGGTAGAAAACGTATGACAAAGAAAGTGAGAAAGAGAGAGAGAGAGAGAGAGATAGAAAAAGTAAATCTGAAAAGTACACACGGTGTAATGCACCCACGTATAAACCACATACACGTTTTTACACACATGTATCATATGGGGTTGGGATTGGGGTTGGGGGAGTGAAGGGGAGAGTTTAGGCAAGCTGCAACAAGCAAAACTTCGTCATAACGGTCGTCATGCTCTCTTCTCGATGACTATGACTACTATAACTATGATCAGAAATACGGGCGACAAGACGTCCAAGCAAGCAGCCCCATTATTGCTTACAGAAAACGACAATCTTTATGGGAGATCTTATATCCAAGTCCCTATGGGGGTTTCCCCGTGGCGCACGCCCAAGGAGAAAGATGAAAAGAGAGAAGAAGAAGAGGAACATGGGGATGATACTTCTTGCCTTGTGGTTTTTGACTATTTCTTTTTTTTTCTTTCGTTTTGTTATTCAGTCACAGTAATATTATCTTTTCATCTTTACTATCTTTCTTTTATCTTTTTTCTTTTTCTTTTTTATATCTTTCCCTTTCGCCGGCTCGTAAATCTCTTTGGGTGTTGAAACTTTCTTAGATGAATTTTGTGAACACTAAAGAAAAGAAAGTTGTTGTTAACGTTTAATACATCGTGTGTTAGTATTTATTGTTTATTAAATGGTTATTTCGTTACTAAGTATAGTTTAAAATATAACTATGATCGAGATAAATAGATTTTTTATTTATAATATTACTAGCCTGAGTCCCACCATGCCTTACTGTAGCTCATGTGAACCAAAATGTAACGTTGTTGTATAAATAAAGGTTAGGTTATATTTAATTGTTTCAAGCACTCATCGAAATCTATGACCAACAGATAGCGCTGGACACTTATCTGTATCTTTTTCTTTATTTTTCAAATTAATTAATTAATTGGTAAATAAATTAATTTAATAAAAACCTAGTTGTTTGCGAATTCAACGTTGTTTCAACATTTCAAGACAATTAAGGTAAAGTACTTTTAAAAATTATAGATTAAGTACAAATGAAATTTACATTTTTATATATTAGGTGTACAATTTTACTTTCGTTATTTTCCTACAGATGGCTCATAAAAAAAAATGGCGGGAACAAATCTGTACACCTATTATACAGACAGTAGTACCAAAAATTTGAATTTAATCGAAAATAATATAATTAATAATATAACAAATGATACAAAAATTAGGGTTATGTTTAAGTAAGAATTTTATTTGAAAGAAAAAAATGTAAAAAAAAAACAAAAAGATATTATTATTATATTTTATATATAAATATATTTTCTCTTTCTGTTTCTGAACGCATAGGGGGGTAACGTTGTATCCCAATGATATTACTTTTTTATTGGTAATAAGTTTTGTACCTGATAGATACAACCAGAAGAAGTGGTTCGCATCGTTCGGTTTCGCGTCATTAATTTACGAACACGCTGGTGTATTAGTATTGGTGTATACTAGTACTAATACAAGAATATCATCTACGTAGGATTATTTAGCTGTTAAACCGGAAGGTTCGCGAACCCCTAGCGTTCATCAAATTCCGTGCTCTGCGATGCGTTCTCTCCACCACCATCACCACCTCCACCTCCTCCTCCTCCTCCTCCTCCTCCTTCTTCTTCTTCTTCTTCTTCTTTTTCGTTGGATGCTAGGAGGTACTCGCATCCTTCTTCGGTGATGCTGTGTGCTGGGTTGCTACCGTCGTTCGTTCGTTCGTTCGTTCGTTCGTTCGTTCATTCGTTCGTTCGTTCGTTACGGTTACGAGGAAATCTTTCTCTCTATAGGGGTCTCGTAAACGAGAGTAGGCAACAGGTGGCAAAGAAAAGAAGGTGCCATGTACGTGGGAAAAGCGTAACCAACGAGAGAATATTTCCTTTATTGGAAACTTTCAAGAATAATTTCAACAGGGTTTTACGTTTCTTAAACGTTTCTTACCTTAACTTCGATTAAAATTCTTTTCTCTTTTTTGTTTCTATTATTTTTTTAGATTTAATTTTAATTTATATTCAGTTTAAGCTAGCCAAAATTTGTTACAACCAAAAATAAAATAAAATGAAATAAAATAAAAAGGATTGAGATATAAATAATAATATTTTATTAATAAAATATATTTAATTTAAATTTAATTATTAAATAAAATAGTAATTTAATTTATTATTAATATAAATAATAGAATATATTTAATATAAATAATATTATTATTTAATTAATAAATTAAAGTATTAATTTAATATAATTGAAATAAATTTACTTAATATATTTAATAAATAAATTTAATTAATTTAATATACAATATTATTAATATAAATAATATATATATATTTTAAAAACAAATTTAATCTCATAATATTAAGGATTGAAAAAGTTTAGTTTAATTTACATTTAATTAACGTTTTGTTTTATAAATTAGATCGAAATATCGTACGATTCGTGAAACTAAAGAAATTAATGGCTGACATACAGGTATCGTCTTTTCTCGATTGGATTTGACGAGGTAGAAAAAGAGAGTAGGTGGTGGTAAAAAGAACAAGATAGTCACAGGATTTCTCGTAATAAGAAGAAGTAGGCGGTGTACTTCGTTGATACGTGGAACCAATCGTTCGTCTCGTTTCCTTCTTCCGAGTGACTCCGATCAACAAACAACGAACGTTTCCTCTCTCGTTCAGCCTTCACAGGTGAGAGGCGGCGAGGTATCACAGTCATCGGTCTCTTTAAACGCTTCTCGTAGCTTGTTCTAACTTTTGTGAGTTAATTTATATATTCATATATACAATTCATACACATACACACACATATATATATATTTATCATTGCTCTGTTTCGAACGAGAATATCGTGAAAGAAGTTCATTAATTGGCTGACGTTACTAAGAAAACGTACGTCATGTGTGAGTGTGTGTGTATGTGTGTTTTTTACTACTATTTCTTGCTCCCTTTTTTTACTCTTCACCCTTCGGATTTATCGAGATTCAAAAAGGTACGATGGTTGAGAAGAGTGGGGGGTTTTCTCTCATTAGGATTTACCCCTACCCAACAAAACTACCTTTACGAACCGGCGTAAAGTAAATGAGCAGGTGCCTCTGGTATGTGTTTGCCCCGCCTACGCTTTCCACTTGCTTTCTCTCTCTCTCTCTCTCTTTCTCTCTTTCTCGTATTCTTTTTCTTCTTCTTCTTCTTCTTCTTTTTTACGTTGCTTCAACATCGACGACTACGATGTCTGGTGTCCCCCCTTTCTTTTTCATATCGAGATAACATCGTTGGAAAAACGTAAACTTGATGTATCATCTGCCTAGTGTAACCATAGGATATCTATATATATGTTCACGTATGTGAGTGTATATATTTATGGTAGATTTATCATAGGTTAAGAGTCCAGGAAGAAGAAGAAGAAGAAGAAGAAGAGGAAGAAGAAATCGGCTTTCCATTTTGTTCAAGCTTAGGACGAATGCATTTAGAATGCACATTAGGTATGCTAACGTCGTAATTCAGATCGTATGTGAAAGTACATATATACACATATGTTTAGATCATCCCATTAAGATATCGTAAAGTTATTGACACAGAATAAATCGTATAGGGTGAAAACATCAGAAATCATGTGCCAGAAATTCACTAATATTCTCTTTTAATGTTACGTTTGAACCTTACGAGTTCAACCCTTGAGTAAAGTGTCTCTCAGGATGATGAGTTGAGACCTTCTCAAGGCTAACTGGAAATCATAAAAATAGAAGATAGTTTTGTAGAGACTAAACGAGCTATATTATATATCCGAGAATGAAGAATTCTCAGAGTTCTAGACACTTCTAGGAGAAGGAGGAGGGTGTAGAAGTCAGCAAAGTGGTCTGTCTCTTTGAGAGAGACACAGAACAAATGCGAATATTTTCTTATTTTTTTTTTTTTTTTTACTTTGTATTGGCAGTAAAAACTATGCCGTGCTTCTTACTATACCTTATGACCATATAGACGTTTCATGTATGTATGCGTAAGTCTACGTATGTACGTGGTCTCGCGCGAACCTTCGTGTTTGCTTAAAATCTTGACGCATGACCGTGCGACTACGTACGAGAAGGAGTCTCTCTCTCTCTCTCTCTCTCTCTCTCTCTCTGTTTTCAGGACTTGAACTAACTTTCAAGATAGAAAGCTTACTTAGTTTTTTTTTTTTTTTTTTTTNAAATGTACTCTGAGATGTCTATTTGGTTTTTTTTTTTTATATTAACTTATAACCTAATGCATTCTAGTTTTAAATTTGGAACAGGTTATGTGTTGAGGGAAAGGTGTTGTAAAGATGGAAATAACAGAGGACGAAGTTTTTTTATTAAAAATGAAATATAAAATTTATTAAAATTATCTAATATTGTTTGATAAACATTTTGATTATTTTGTGAATTTATTTTGATGAATTTTAATTAGTAGAATTGATAATATTGTATAATATAATAAATCAAAGTTAAAGAAAGTAAAGAAGTATGTGTATGTATGTGTGATTTTTTTTAAGATAAAGGAAAGAATATGAGGAAGATGAAGAAGAATAAGAATAAAATAAGTAAAGTTTAAGTTTGTTTAAGATACACCTCCGCGTTTATCCCGAGCTTGGTGAGTCAACGTAACTTTAAAACGCGTAGCATAGTCGTCGGTTCACCATAAGAGAGAACAAGTGTCATCGGCCGTCCTTCGTTCGTTCGTTTCTCGCAGTATCGGCGACC